AAGAGCGGAGTTCGAGGTGATCGGAGGAAAGAAGAACTCTTTCGGCGAGTGAAACTTAGGGTCCAGTCAATTTTGTGTATTTTGTTATGATTTAATTTGTAATTTTGTTTCAGAAACAAGCGTTCATGTTGTGTAAATTTGAGCTCGGTATGGACAGAGGAAACGAAAAGCATCCGGTGGCTTTGATTTGTGTATCAAATCATCCGACTGGGAAGGGACTTCTTTTACAGGTGTCGACATGAAATAAATGTTCTTACTGTATAGTTAACACCAGGGATTGCGTTTTGCTGTGATTTATTGTGTTCTGTTCACTCCGGATCACAGCAGGCACAGGAGGGGATTCATCCCACAGCTCCTCACTCTGCGCCGCCGCGTTACAGACCTCTCGGTGGGTGACATTTTGGACGCGGCGCTGCCCCCACGGGGAAGGTCGCAGTGATCCAGTGGGTTCCTACCCTCCCCTTTAGCCATCTTTTTTATTTTTTTAATGCAGCCTTACGATTAGTCTGGGGAGGATAAAGCCGAGGCCACCGAGGGGAGCGGAGCATTGGTGTGCCCCTCCGTGCTGCCGTCACCAGGGAGGTCACCGTCCCTTGCTGTTTCTCCCTGGGGACTGGGTTGGTTTGTTTTATCTTGAGTTGGTTTTCCCCAGTTTGTCCCAGTCTGCAGGGTCAAAGCCTGCGGAGCTTTCAGCACGGCTGAACTTCCTAATCTGCTCTTGAACGTTGCTCGCGGCTGAGCCTGGGTCTCCGGGTGGCTCACCTGTAACAGTGGAGCGCAGGGCATGATGGACGGCGCCTCCAGCTTTTTATTTTTCAGCCAGCCACCCTATGTTTATTTAAAAGACCGTTTTTTAAAACCCGCCCTTGTCTCTGCCACTCCTTCAAACTTAGAACCATAGAATCACATAAAATCATTTGGGTTGGCAAAGCCCTTGAAGCTCCCCCAGCCCAACCGTTCCCCCTACCCCTGCCATCCCACCCCCAAACCCTGGCCCTCAGCACCGCCTCTGCCC